GAGGTTATAAATAGTGTTGCATATGTCGGTCCTTTTTCTCTTCCTTTGATCTTTTTGGGGTATAGGACTAATAATGGCATATAGCTGTATCAAAAATCACGCAGTTTTGTTTTGTTTTGTTTATTTTGGGGGCTTACTTCTGTCGACCTGAAAGTTTGGTTAAAGAAGGCAAACAAGTTAGGTGATACATGATTATATAGTTTATTCCCTTTTAGCTAGCGAATCATGTCGACATGGAAAACAGAACGTGATTCTGATTCCAAGATTAAGCAAAATGAGAGAGGTTTTATACAGTTCAGACTCGGGATGTCTGTGTTTACAAAAAAAATACAGCCTCCATATGTTTCTTTAACATATAGCATGGGAAAGGAATTTCCCTAATTGAATAGGTTGTAAATACAATAAAATAGGAGAATGTCAAAGTGTCAATAGAAATTCAAGATAAGAAAAGTCCCATTATTCAAGAGAATATCTGGTCCCAGATATCCTGGGCTTAGTGATAACAAACAGGAAGAATGTTGATCAGTTCTATCTGGTCCTGGAATTTGCTGACACAGTAAGGGGTGTTTTTGGTTCACTCAGAGAGAAAAAGATTAATTTAGGTTTTTGGCCTTTATTAGGGATCAATTGATCTTAAATGATTATCAGTTCCAAATGGCTTTCTATAATGGTTAAACCAATTCACAACTCTACCAATAATGCATTAGTGTCCCTGTTTTTCTGCATCTCCTCCAAAAATTGCCATTTTCCTTTGTGTCATTTTTGCCAAAATAATGAGTGTGAGATAGGACCTCAGAGTTACTTTAATTTGCACTTCTCTAAGTAATAGCATTTTGGAGCATTTTTTTTCATGTTTGCTGATAGCCTGTATTCCTTCCTTTGAAAATTATCTGTTCATACCCTTTGACCATTTATCAACTGATGAATGTTTGTTGTTCTTATAAATTTTAATTAGCTACTTATATATCTTGCATATGAGGCCTTTATCAGAGGAACTTGTCACAAAAATTTTTTGCTTCTAATTTTAATTACATTGGTTTTGTTTGTGTAAAACTTTTTTTTTATTTCATATCATCAAAACTGGCCATTTTACCATGTAATCCTGCCTATCCCTTCTTTAATTAGGAAGTTTTCCCCTATCCATAGATCTAAAAAGTATTTTTTCTTGCTCTTCTAATTTGCTTATGGCATCATTCTTTATTTCTAATTTCCATTTAAAGTTTATCTTGGCATGCAGTGTAAGATGTTGGTCTATATCTAATTTCTCCCAGACTGCTTTCCAACTTTCCCAGGAGTTTTTGCCAAGTACTGAGTTTTTACCCCAGTGTCTGGGGTCTTTGGTTTTTATCAAACATCAGGCTACTGCAATTTCTTGCTTCTTTATCTCAAGTGCCCAATCTGTTCCACTAATCAACCTCTCTGTTTTTAACCAGTAACAAATCATTTGAATGATTACTATTATATCGTACAGTTTGAGATCTGGTGCTGCTAGATTTCCTTCCTTCACACATTTTTTTTTCATTAGGTCCCTTAAGATCTTGACCTTTTGTTCCTCCAAAAAGATTTCATTATTATTTTTTCTAGCTTTGCAGAATGATCATTTTGTAATTGGATTAGTATGGCCCTGAATAAGGTAGTTGGTTTCTAAACTACAGAGATATAGGGGGGAAAGGTGATAGATTTGGCATTGGGAGAGACTTGAATTCAAATTTAAGCTCTGGGGGCAGCTGGGTGGCACAATGGATAGAGCACCAGGCCCAGAGTAAGGAGAATCTTAGTTCGAATTCGACCATAGACGCTTAGTAGCTGTGTGATCCTGGGCAAGTCACTTAACCCTGATTGCCTCCAGAAAAAATTTCAGCTCTGACATTTATTAGCTGTGTTACTTTTGATAACTCACCTTGCTTTCCTAAGGAACAAAATGTAAGCCATCTCTTGGGGTTGTGAGAAAAGTGCTTTTCATACACCAAAACACAAATGTGAACTGTTATTGAGCCATGAGGTGTCAGGCAGGTACAATTTAAAGGAAAAGCAGTCAAGGTGATATAGTGGATTGGGTGGTGGGGCTTGCAGCCAAGACCTGGATTGAAATACTAACTCTGACATTAGCTGAATAACTATGGAGGGGGAGAGTATTTAACTTCTACTAGAGGAAATTACAGGTCTTTCCTATTTCCTGTGAATGGTTTTCATTCCTGTGAATTAGGATCTTTCCTACATTCACACGAATGAAAACCATTCACAGAAAACTAATAAAATGAGACAAGGACTAGGCTTAAGGTTGGGAGACTAGTTCAAATACAAGCTCAGCCACTTACTTGTCTGTGTGACTCTGGATCAATCAATCAATAACTCTAAAAAGCAAACAAGGGAATAGAAATTATTTAAATGTAACTAGGTGGCACAGTCGATAGAGTGCTAGGCCTAGAGTCCAGAGGACCTGAGGTCAAATCCAGCTTCAGTCACTTACTAACTGTGTGACCCCAGGCAAATCATTTAACCTCTGTTTATGCCTCAGTTTCTTCAACTATAAAAAAGGAGTGTTGTAAGGATCGAGTGAAATAGTTGTACAGCATTTAACTCAGTACCTAGCACATAGTAGGCACTTAATAAATGCCCTTTCCTCTTTAATGAACTTTCACTGCCACCTTGAACTCACTATGTAACCTTGGGCAAGATATAACTTCTCTGGGGCTCACTTCCCCCATCCATAAAATATGGGCAACAGTTCTTCTTAGCATTCAGTTACTAAAGTCCTCAAATCTGCTGCCTTCCTACTAAAGGAAGTAAAACAGGTATGATGTACAAGGCATGAAGGGCATCTATTCCAACAGTACCCCCATTGTTTTGTGTCTTCTCAGACAAAGGAGGGAAGGGAGGGGGAGGGGGAAGAAGGAGAAAAGAGTAAAGAGGGTTGAGGAGAGAGAAGAAAGGGCCCTGTTAATATCTATCCATCAAAAGTTGAGTGAAGTGATGCAGAGTGAAGTAAGCAGAACAATAACAACATTGTAAAGATAAACAACTTTGAAAGACTTGAGAACTCTGACCAACCCTGATTCAAGAAAACTGGTGATAAAGGATACTACCCACCTCCTGACAGACAGATGATTCATTCATGATGCAGAATGAGACATACATTTTTGAAAGTGGACAGTGTGAGAATTTGTTTTGCTTGACTATATATATTAAAAATTTTTTTGATTGCCAGGAGAAGGGATGAGGGAAAGAAAATAAACGTTCGTTACTTTAATGGAATTGCTGCTAAGAGATCGCAGATTTAGAGATGGGAGGGTCATCAGACCTAACCCCTTCACTTTACAAATGAAGAAACTGAAGTCCAAATAGGGTAAGTGACTCTCCCAGGTCACACAGCTCATAAGTGTCTGAGACAGAATTCAAACCCAGGTCTTCCTGACTATGAGGATAGCACTTTACTGGCTACACCACACTGCCTATGGTCCTCCATGGGCTTCTGCTTTGTTTGCTTTATCAGCCATTCATGAAGTGCTTGATATTCAAACAGAGATTCAATAGTAAATTAATAATTAACTTACAAAATAATGAAATGGGGGCAGGCATACCTGACTTGGCCGGGGGGGGGCACAGAGGAGTAGTGTTCTCACCAGGAAAGACCATGATCAGCAGGAGAAAATGGAGCAGCAATCACACTTTAATTAAACATAGAGTATATGGGGGGCAAAAAGCCCATAAAAGCATTGACAAGTGGTGAAAAGTGGGACAGAGGCAGACCTAGTGGCATAGGACAGGGAATAGGATGGTGGAACAAAGAAGCATGAGGAATAGGATGGGAAGAGAGAGAGAGAGAGAGAGAGAGAGAGAGACAGAGAACATCATTCACATAACCCTGGATTAAAGTTGGGAGCCCTCAGTAGTAATGGACTCAATGAAGATGGAAGAGCACTTGAAAGGCAGGAGTTTGAGGTCTCATTTTTATACGATTTTGGAGGGGAAACAGACCAACTCCTATCTGTACCATGTTGGGGCTAGTTCGTTAATATATCTAAATCATCTCAAAGTTATCAGGAAAACTTCAAAGTTGCATCTCAAAGTTATTAGCACCTTTTTGATGTTCTGATCATCTAGAGCTACAAAGGTCTGGAATTTGTCTGGAATTTACATTTCACAGAACCAGAACCCTGATAGCAGCACTAGATGGCTTTTATTGATTCATCACATATTAACAGGTTGTGAATTTTGGTTAATATATGAAACAATTTGTAAATTCTACTCCTTTGATCTTTGGGATGGTTTCTACATGACTTCTCGCTTCCTCTGCAATCTCATTCCCTACTATTGCCCCTTTATACTGGCTACTCATAAACTTACTCTACTGAGTAGAAGGGTGTGGGCAGGTCAGTAGGACCAGAACTAGATACGATTTTAAGACAAATAATCTTGGTAGGAATTCATTCTTTCCCCCCCTCCCACTTTTTTCTATTTCTCATAGCTGCTTGTAGCTGTATACAGCTATCCCTTCCACATCGAGGGAATTATGGGCATGGCACCATCCACCCACCCAATCTGCAAAAGATGGGTAGTTTTTTGGCCTTCCTTTCATATCAGAAAAGAAGTTTGAATTATTATGGTATTAAAAGAAAAAATATGTTGATATTATATAATACTATAAATTTATTTTATTCATTTCTGAGTTTCTAAACTTTTTCTGTGTCATCTGCTGGCCTTTCAAAACTCCCATAAAATTCTCATTTCATTTCTTATGCCAACCCACAATATATCAAAACCATGATGGGAAAAGTCACAATGTGGAAGGAATAACTGTATTTCCCATCCTGCAGAATTTACACAGAGAAGTAAAAGAGGAATATTAATGTTGGAATTTCCTTGTCTTGTGTTTAATGAAGGTTTTGCTTTTGTTTTTTGCAGATCTTGGTGTTGATAGTCCAAATAAATAAATACTCTCAGTGGTGGGGGAAAAAAATTCTGACCTATCTCATTTGCCCTATGTTTGTACATGATAGGGAAATGACCAAAGTCCATGATGGGCAATGAAACCAGAATAACTGAGTTCGTCCTCCAAGGACTGACAGATACTGAGGACCTGCAGATGGTAGTTTTCTTGCTCCTGCTGCTAGCCTACCTGGTAACTATTTCTGGCAACTTGACTATTATCACTCTAACATTATTGGACATCCGTCTACAGACCCCAATGTATTTCTTCCTCCGGAACCTGTCCTGCTTAGAGATCTGGTTCCAGACAGTCATCATCCCCAAAATGTTGGTCAACATTGCCACAGGAACCAAGACCATTAGCTTTGCTGGCTGTGTCACCCAAGACTTCTTCCATATCTTCCTAGGGGCCACTGAATTCTTCCTCCTCACTGCCATGTCATATGACCGCTACGTTGCCATCTGCAAGCCCCTTCACTACCCAACCCTCATGAGCAGCAAAATCTGCACACAGCTCATCCTCACCTGTTGGCTAGCTGGCTTCTCCTTCATCATTGTCCCTCTGGTCCTGACCAGCCAGCTCCCCTTCTGTGATTCCCACATCAACCACTTCTTCTGTGACTACACACCTCTGATGGAAGTGGTTTGTAGTGGGCCAAAGGTACTGGAAATGGTAGACTTTACTTTGGCCTTGGTAGCTCTCCTCAGCACCTTGGTGCTGATCACCCTGTCCTATGTCCAGATCATCCGGACAATCATTAAAATCCCATCAGCCCAGGAAAGGAGGAAGGCTTTCTCTACCTGCTCCTCTCATGCTATTGTTGTGTCCATGTGCTATGGCAGCTGTTTCTTCATGTATGTCAAACCCTCACCAGGCAAAGGGGTTGACCTCAACAAAGGAGTGTCACTGATCAATACAATTATTGCCCCCCTCATGAATCCCTTCATCTACACCCTCAGGAATCAGCAAGTCAAGCAGGTGGTGAAGGACCTAGTTAAAAAGTTTACTCGATTCCAAAACAGATAAGAAGAGCCCAACTTAGCAGTTTTCTTTACTTTTGGGTTACAAATGTTGCCTATAACAGAGTGGAATAATCTCCACAGAACAAATCCACAGCACCTGGGTCCAAGAAGTAGGATCTAAAGAGATCAGACCACAGATGCTTCCTCTTGTCCACACCTGAAAAGTTCGGATTACCTCTAAAACACAAGGAAAATGCCCTGTTAGTCTGTGAAAGAAATCCTTTCTTAACTGACTCTCCCAGAGAGAGGCTCTTTCTACTTTCCAGAGCACAGCCAGCATAGGAAGTATGGAAAAGCTAAGCTATGTCCCACAATCTCCCCAACTAGCCTAAGAATCATGGAAATCATCTATCATTACACATCTATTAAGCACCTACTACACGCCAGGCACTGTTCTGGTCAATGGGAATAAAAAGACAGAAATGAAACAGTCCTTGCTCTCAAGAAGATTATATTCTATCAGGGGATACAGTGTGAGTGTGTCTGTGTGTCCATGTGTGTGGATGCATCTGTGTCTGTTCCTGTGCCTGTATTTGTGTATACAAGGTCATGAGACTACAGGTGGGGCAGGAAAGGAAATGGGATCAAGAAATGTGATGATGGTGCTTGAGCTGAGCTTTGAAGGAAACTGGGGGTTCAAAGACTGAAGGTAAAGGTGAAATTGTGTTGGGGGAAAACCAGTGCAAAGGCACAAGACAGAAGTGTTATTTGTGAGGAACGCAAAGATGGCCAGTTTGGCTGAACCAAACAGTGCTGGAAGAGGAATAACATATTACAGGATTGGAAAGGCAAGTTGAAACCAGCTGTGATGCTTAACATCATGATTTTGCAGAACAACCAAGTCCCAAAGAAGTGAAGAGACTTGTCTCTTTTTTTTGAGGACTTGAGGAAAAAGTGCCATGAGTCATTTAAAATGTCTATTCAAAAATCACTTTCCAGAGGAGAAAAAAATCTTCCACCTACAAGCTTCTAAGGAGGGATTGGATAATTCCGTAGAGATAGGGACAAGGAAGGCTACGTACATAGTTGGGGGAGGGGGATCTTTAAATATAATACATTGTATTGCTTTTCAGTAGGGATCCTTCTTTTATAGACAGCCTAAAGTCTATTTTCCTTCTGCCAAGAGAAAATAATAATAACAAATTGGTGCCAATGGTCCCAAAGAGTGGCCTGAGTCATTCAAGAACTGAAAAATAAATGAAGGGTTTGAAAGAATGGGAAGGTCCCACATGTTCCAAGGTCCTTCCTCAGCTAATTGATGGAGAAGTGGGGTGTGGGGTGTTCCAGAAGGACTAGCACCTCTGATATGAGGGCTTCTCAAGCCCTGTTCAGGGCTGCTCATTCACCTTTGGTGTCCACCTTTCACACAACTCTCATCCATGTCTCCAAGAAGCATGCAAAACAGCCACATCCTAGTAAAATCATCTTGGCACTTGGCACCTGGTTTCAGGTTGAGGGTAACCAACAGGCCTCAAACCCATTGGTGAGTTAGGAGGATGTCTACCCCAGGCATGTGAAGACTTCCCCCCATGAAACAGATGGATAAGAACAATTTGTTCCAGTGGCCATGAAGGCAGTTAAAACAAGCACAGTAGAGCACTTAGAGCTTGGTCAGACATTGAAGATGCATTATCTACTGCAACCCAAGCCATCACTAGTCATCTTGACTTTTGTCCTGCCACTGGATTTCAATGATTCTGGAAGAAAGACTTCATGCAGTTTTGCCTCACTTAAATCCAATTCATCCACAAATTAATACATCACCTATGATGTCACTGGTCCTCTTTGAAAACAAACAATAGCAATGGAGAAGCCCTTAGGAGTCGACCCTAAGGAATCACAGAATCATAAAATCTCAGAGTTGATCCCAGAGGCCAACTAGTTCAATGTCTACCTCAATAGGATTTCCCCCTACAATATTCCCAACAAGTAGTCATCTGAGTTTAACTTGAAGACCTCTAGGGTCTTGATCCTGTTTCCTTTTCTGCCCCACCTCTAGTCTCATGACCTTGTATACACAAATGCAGGCACAGGAACAGACACACACATGGACACACAGACACACTCACACTGCATCCCCTGATAGAATATAATCTTCTTGAGAGCAAGGACTGTTTCATTTCTGTCTTTTTATTCCCATTGACCTACCAAGGTCAATCAAAGAAATCAGGCTGAGCCCATTTCAGTCCAAAGCTTAGGTAAAATGAAGTATCCAACATAGACCCTCTTGCCTCCTGATACTATCTACTACACCTCTAGAGAACCCAGAGGAGGGGTGGGGATCAATAAATTAACTCAAAAAAATCATATTACATGACAGGCACTGTGCTAAACTATGATTGGTTAATTGTTGTCCTTAATCCTTGAAGAGGACCAAAATGGCATCACTATGTTAGAGTCCAGATACAATGCATCTGACTGGGGCTGATCAGACTAATATGAGCTCAGAATGCTCTACCATGGCTCAGATACAAATAGTCCATGTGAACATTTGGGGTGGATTCTCTAAATTTTCACATCTCCCATTTATTTTGAGCTACTTCAATTCTGCTTTGCTCGTAGAGCATGCCAAATCAATTCCAAAGTTCTTAAGAGAAATCTTGAGAGTTCAAAATTGTCCATCTCTATAAAGGTAAAGGAAATAGATTGTCCTGTGACAATCACAGGGGGTCTCTCTCTAAGTCATTGCTGGCAAGATTCTTGCCAGAGTCTTCCTTATTAAGCTGATCCTTCACCTGGAAGATAGTCATCTACCTGAGAGCCAGTGTGTCTTCAGAAAGGGCCAAGGAACAGTTTGCTGCCTTTCCACTCCAGGAAAAATGCCAAGAGCAAAACAGATGTGTGTAACACAACATTTGTAGATCTAACCAAGACCTTTGATACAGTCAATCATGAGGGCTTATGGAAAATTATGTCAAAATTTGGTTGCATGGAGAAGTCCATCAGTATTGTACATCAATTTCATGATGGCATGCTTGCCTGGGTTCTGGATAATGGGTGATGCTCTCATGTTTTCTCAGTCACCAATGAAGTGAAACAAGGCTGTGTACTTGCTCCCGTGCTTTTTAGCATGATGTTTTCAGCCATGTTGTCAAATGCCTTCAATAAGGACAAACATGGCACCGAGGTCACCTACTGCACTGATAGCAAATTCTTCAATTTGAAAAGGCTGCAAGCCAAGACCAAAGTGGAGGGAGTGTTAATGCATGATTTTTTTGTTTGCAGATGACTGTGCACTCAATGGAGCTAAACCGTAGTAATACAAGTACAAAGAATGAAATAATTCCTACTCATATGGAGCTTTCATTATAATTGGGAAGCCTAGTAAATATACAAATATATCCAGCATAAATACAAATATATACAAAGTAGTTATATATAAGGTAGTTAGAGAGGGAGGGCACTAGCAAATGGGGTGGGGGGTGGAATTAGGAAAGGCTTCACACAGAGAATGGTGCTAGGGCTGCATCTTAAAGGAATATAGAAACGCCATGAGGTAAGGAGAAAATGCATTGCAAACATGGAGGATGGCTAGTTAAAAGACTCAGAAATTGGAGATGGGATGTTAAATGTGAGGAATGGAGAGAAGGCCAGCTTGGCTGGATAGGAAGAGATGGTGGCCATTTCTATGAATTTTTCAAAGAAAAAATGAAGTTCATTGTTTCAGTCAGTTCAGAGCCAGAGAAAAAATCAATATCTCTCCTGATCTTACTTTTAATGTTTTTTATTAATGTATTTTGGGGTTATTTAATATCACCATAGCTTTTCCCCAGCATTCCACCCCTTCCCCACCAAGAAAGTGATCCCATGTAACAAATAATATTTTTAAAAAAGAATGAGAAGGAAAAATCAGCATAACTAATACATCCAAAAAAATCTGAAATCATGTGTAATATGCAACAAAGGTCCACACCTTCCACCTGCGAAAGGAATGGGACAGCTCTTATTTCAACTAGTCCTTGTTTATAATTTTGCCACATTAACTTGTTTTATAGTGGTTCTTTCTGTTTAGATAAACATAGTCGTTGCATGCATTGCTTTCTTGGCTCTGTTTACTTCACTCTGTTATCAATTCACATAGATATTTCCACGCTTTTTCAGTATTCATCATATTCTCCATTTTTTGTGCAATATATCTGCTTTGTTTACAATTCTTTGCTCTCACAAAAAAAAAATGCTGCTATATGTAGACTTTCTTCTTATCAATGGCCTCTTTAGGGTATAAGCCTAGTAATGGAATCTTTGAGTCAAAAATGTCCATAGGATATTTTAGTCACTTTATTTGCATAATTTTTAATTGCTTTCCAAAGTGGTTGTACCGAATCACAGCTCCACCAATAATGCACTAGTATGCACAACTCTATTTTCTTGCAACCTCTCCAACATTGATTATTCTCATTTTTTGTCAACTTTGTCAATTTTCAGGGTATAAGGTAAAAAATCAAGGTTGTTGTGATTTGCATTTCTCTTGTTATTAGTGAGTTGAAGCTTTTTTTCATGTGATTGTTAATAGTTTGCAATTCTTCTTTTGAAAATTGTTCATATCCTTCGATCACTTATCAGGGAATTGGTTTCGGATATACACACACAAATTATGTATATACACACATACATACACATATATACACACGCATATATACACATATACACACAGAGAGCTCTGATATCAAACCTTTATCAGAAAAATATGATACAAAGATTTCTTTCCCGTTCAACCAATCCCCTTCTTATCCTAGTTGCATTAATTTTGTTTATGCAGAAGCTTTTCAGTTTCATGTAATCAGTTAGCTATTCTATCTTTTGCAATTGTGCTATCCCTTTTTTGGTTAAGAAAGTATCTCCTATCATGGCTGCAAGAAGTATATGATCAGAGGGACAGCTAGGTGGTGCAGTAAATAGAGCACCAGCCCTGGAGTCAGGAGGATCTGAGTTCAAATCTGACCTCAGACACTTGACACTTACTGGCTGTATGACCCTGGCAAGTCACTTAACCCCCCTAGAAAA